CCCAGCCACAACTTGGTGTCTTTATGGCTAGTGAAGCTGTTGTTGATGTAGAAAAGAATTACAAGTCCACAAGTTTTTTTCAAAGGCATAGCTTTGGGGAAAACTTTCACTTTTTGAAGTGGCCAAGGAGGAAGTTACAAGATAGGACAACTTTTGTGTTCAGGAGAAGCTGAGTAGGATGGAATATTTTGTTAGGCTGTAGTAAAAGTCTCATGAGCAGTGGTGACATGTGGATTGGCCAAAAGTGAATGAACAGTGGAGCTTTTGCCACCTTCTAGAAACCTTCAGGAAGTTTGTATATCTGTAGTTGTCCTTGGATATGATATTACCCTCCTCACTAAAGAAAGGAACACATTGGCTCAGATCCATATGTTGATTGCTGTGTCTCACATTCCTCTAGCCTCCATGTCTACAGTCTGAGATTCAGGCCTGGTTTTTTCATTTGTTTGTTTTAATCTGTCGCTAGAGGTGAACCTTCATGAGGACGATCAAACTCCTTCCTTAATCTGTGGTCCATGAAGAGTAACAATACTAAATTTCAGTGTTCTAGTTCAAAAGGTCAGTTGAGTAGCAGAAGGCCATAAATGAGGATCTTTTGGTGACACTAAGCTGAAGAATCAAACTTGGGGGTTCTCTTGCGCATATAGCTAGAGGAACTGCAGTGTATGAGTGTTATGCACATTGGATTCTGGCTCTATCAAATGATTGAAATTAATTGCTGCTCTGTTTAGCATCAGTGCTTTGTTTGATAAGTGGAGAGTTTAAAAACTCAGCAAGAGCATTTTCAAGTACATCAAGCATGCAGATTTTGAATCTGAGCTTTCTGAAAGCTGTGGGTGTGTTGGGAAGTTTCTGCCCCAGTCTGAACTGCACAGCCTCTTCCAGGAAAAGGTGCTGTCTTGCTTACCCTCTCATTCCTCAGGGACTTCAGAGGTGGTTAAGGTGTGATGGTAAGGATACCAGCTTTGATTTTTATAGACCCAGCAGGGTGATGCACTGGGAAGCACCCTGCAGCCTCCCTTTCATTACATTTCTAGCAGCCATTCCTGGCTGCTGTCAAGTACTAAACCAAAATGGACTTTTGGTCTGGCTGATTTATGGCTGGTTTTGTATTCCAAGGCTTTGCTACTCTGACTCACAGGTGGATCCTCATTTGCCCCCAGAACTGCCCCCAACCTCTTCACCCAATAAGCAGTTACACTTATGAGGACACCTGCATCTGTAGCCTTGGAGGATTAACCCTGTCATTGAAGAAAGAATTGTTGTATTTTGTTTTTTGTGTGTTGGTCCATCTTAGTTCCCATTCCATTGTAGGATGGCTTGCATATCCATACAGTAGATCTTCCTCTTTGTGTTGGTGGTAGTTCCCAAACTGTTGACAGCTGGTATTTCATTAAGTTTGTTAAGTGAATATTGTCCTGTCCCTACAGAAGAGCGGGTTGTTCCCATTGAAGTCTGCCGTTCCAAACTGTCGAAGTACTTGCAGGGAGTTGTTTTCCGCTGTGACAAGTGTACCTTTACCTGCTCCAGTGATGAGAGCTTGCAGCAGCACATAGAGAAGCACAATGAACTGAAACCTTACAAATGCCAACTCTGCTACTATGAGACCAAACACACAGAGGAGCTGGACGCTCACCTTCGAGATGAGCACAAGGTAACATCCAAATAGTTTTAACTTGTAGCAGTCTACTCTTTGCAAATGCTGTATTAGTTTACTTGCATGTAAGCTCTGAGTAGCCAAGTTGACATTGCATTTTTTCCCCTTCCCTCCCCAGATCTGGAAACTAATTCGATGTTGGGCATCGCTTCCTCTGTTTTCTATTATTTCTTTTTTTTTCCTTTGGAAACTCAAAATTCAAGATTTCTAAAGCTGTACAGATTTATCAGAATTATCAGACTGTTGTATGCTGAGTATAATTATCTGGAAAAGGCTCTTCTGCATGCTAGGTTTATTTAAAGAGGAGGAAGTGAAATGGTTGTGAAACAATATTATGGCTGTGTTATTCGGCCTGTCTAAAAGGCAGGAGATTCCAAACATAAGATTGCTCTGGCAACTTCAGCAGCAGTGACATGCCATGCATATTTTAATAACAAAGAGGGTAATACATCCCTGTTTACATTTAACAAGGGAAAGATAAACAGCAAGTTTATAACCAGGTCCTAAGTCAAGACTGCTTTGGAGTTTTTGTAGAGTGTCTGAGTGCAGACCTAGTACAGTCTCTGAGAAGTCATTAAAGGCTTTCCACAGACTGTTAGCTTTGAATTTCTGTAGTTGTGAGCTGTTTAGCTGAGAGACACTTAAATTATAGAACTGAAATGTGTTTTGGAGTATTTGTTAGACTACTTCTTTGTCATATTTCCATCTGTTGGAGGGAGCTGAGCTTCCCAGGTCCTCCCTAAAAACTCACTCCTACTTCATTGACTGAATGACGCAGGCAAATACATTTATATTGACAGAGTTAGCAACAGAACTCCCAGCAACACTTGTAATCCTTAAAAAATACTTGGCTGTCTTATAAAAACACTCTGTAAACTTATGTTATCTGCCCTCATCTTTACTACTTTTGGAGAATCTTCTGCAATTAACATGAGATGTTCCGCACCTCCTAGTCACCACAGTAAGGTGCCTGGCAGACTCAGGAGGCACTATTCCTCATTCTTTTGACACAGTACATCAGGCTGGGAAAATTATTCCCTTACTTGGATCTCCCTTCCAATCTGAATGTGCAGTGGTGGGGTTTAGTAGTTCAGGATATCGTTTCCGCTCTTCGGTAATTTATATCACACTAATTTGTGTCCACATTTTGAGCTTAGATACCCAAGTGATATATTGCACTTTAAAGAGTTTCTGGGCATGAGCTGATTTGAATTAAGTGCCTTGCATGTGGTATTGTTTGTTTAAATCTCGGTGGGTAATATTTTAAGTCAAGAGAACCTCATCACAGCAGCCTGTATGGAGTAGTACTAGGAATCAGCACACCAGGATAGTTTGCTATTTGGAGATATACTACAGTCTGATTCACATGGTCCTTATGTTCATTCACATTCCCTTTCCCACAGAGGGATAAAAAATAGGCAGTGGGTGTTGATATATCATTTAGCATCTTGCAAGAGGTGTTGTACTGCACTCTGTTTCCATCCTCTCTGCCTCTGTGGCTCAGTGCCTGTGCTGCTAGAGGGCTGTCTCTTTGCATGAAACATGAATCCAGAATCCTTCCCAGCAGTGATCAATGAGCTCAGAGACTGCTTTTCATCCACCAAGTATTAGCCCTAGTGTCCTGGTCATGCTCCATGCTCTCTGCCTCTGCTGTAAATCTGGACTGCTCCTCCGCTGTTTCTGTTGGATGTGGTGGAGTTCCTGACTTCCGTGCCCTAAGCTGCTCCTTTCATTCTGCTGCTGTAAGCTGTTAAGTAGCTGATGCATTTCACCCTAGGGTTAGCTGAATTTGACTGCTGGGTGAAGTGTTCCCATTATAGTCTGTGTATCAGTTTGCAAAGCACTTCGCAGCCTTTCGTAATGAAAATTAATCTGTTACTAATGAGTGAAAGTGTATGTGGCACACAGCAGCCATGTGCTTAGTAAAAGACCCATCTTCTCATGAATGAAGCTGAATGAACCAGTCACAAAGAATTTTCCTTCAGTGTGGATGTACAATAGTAGTGTTTGATCACAGTGGTTGAATGATGCCACAAAAAGAGGGTGAAACTTAAAAGTGTTTTGTATTTCTTGGATTTTGTCTTGTTTTAATGCATCAAAACCAGGAAAAAACAAGGGGGGATACGTGTTAGCTGAATGTCATTAATTTTTGAAAACCAAAAATAAGAAATGCAGAATAAACTTCAAAAGAAGAATAATTTTATTTTATTTTTTTTTTTAAAGAGTGCTAATTTGAGTGGGTTACCACATGCCATTTCTAGCTAAGCAGGCTTTGGGGTGTACTCTATTTTATTTTGCATATGTGACGATTTTTCTGAATAGCGGAAGATTGTGCTGATTGCTGACAAAAGTGTATCTTTCAAAGGTGAGTCGTAATTTTGAGCTGGTTGGACGTGTTAACTTGGACCAGTTGGAACAAATGAAGGGGAAAATAGAGAGCTCCAGCAGTGATGAAGAAGAAAAAGAAGAAGAAGAGTTAAGCCCCAAGACTGAAGAGAGAGGTCAGTGCAGCTGGTTTTGGTTTAGGGTTTTTTGTTTTTCACTCCAACATGCTCCACCAGTCTCACCAGCAAGGTCAGCTGTTGACTCTACAACATGTTCCTGTAGAGCCATGCAGGCATGGCAGCAGGAGCAGAATGGGGCCTTTTTGAAGACACTGCTTCTGGGGGAATCTCATGTTTCTAATCCTTATTACAAGTTTTCTGTCTGTTAAGAAAATATGTGCTATGAGAAAACATAGATAGCATCTGTAACTTATCTGCCCATGCAGATAACATCTGTAAGAGCCTGGAAAACTACGTAAGTGGAGTATTTTAGTGGTCTGTCAGATTTTCTGTTTTGGTAACAAATTTTCAGCTTTTCACTTAGCATTGTTCACGTGAACGATGGAAGGGGTCATGGCCAAGCTTTTTTACGGGCCATTATTAACTGTGCCCAGCATTCCTTCTCAGACAGAGTCAGTCCTGTTGCAGTTGCTGCAGTTCGCAGATCTGGAGCCAGGGGACTTCCATGCATGCCCTGTACCATTGTGTATTTAAATATGTGCCTAAGTTCATATCTAAGACTAATCCCACTGACTTCAGCAAGGCTAGCCCATGTGCTTGCTAATGCTTTTAGTTTGATCAAAGTTAGATCAGCAGGGGAAATGTTCTCTGTAAATTGAATCCTTTTGAACTAAAGGTTTCTTGACTTTCCAACAACCTTCCCCCTTGAAAACCAGGTTATTGCAGTATCTGGTGTAAACTATGTGTTGTCTAGTCTGCTCTAGTGCACAATTCATCAGTTAAATGCAGTTCATCACTTAAATGCAGTGTGTTCGCAAGTCTTTAACAGCTTTAGCTCTATGATGCCTGAATGTGAGGTTCCTGGAGTCACTCACCCTCTTGATTCTGATGCCCACAGTTAGCCATGTTCTTAACTAAAGGTATACTACCATGTTTATCTTTTTTCTCCTGAATTTTCAGCTTTTAAACTCACAAAAGAAAATGTGTCATAGAATCATAGAATAGTTTGGGTTGCAAAGGACCTTAAGATCATCTAGTTCCAACCCCCCTGCCATGAGCAGGGACACCTCGCACTAAACTATGTCACCCAAGGCTCTCTCCAACCTGGCCTTGAACACCACCAGGGTTGGAGCATTCACAACTTCCTTGAGCAACCCATTCCAGCGCTTCACCACCCTCACTGTGAAAAACTTCTTCCTTATATCTAATCTAAACTTCCCCTGTTTAAGTTTAAAGCCATTACCCCTTGTCCTACCACTACAGTCCCTAATGAAGAGTCCCTCCCCAACATCCTTATAGGCCCACTTCAGATACTGAAAGGCTGCTATGAGGTCTCCATGCAGCCTTCTCTTCTCCAGGCTGAACAGCCCCAACTTCCTCAGCCTGTCTTCATAAGGGAGGTGCTCCAGCCCCCTGATCATCCTCGTGGCCCTCCTCTGGACTTGCTTCAACAGCTCCATGTCCTTATGTTGAGGACACCAGAACTGTACACACTCCAAGTGAGGTCTCACAAGAGCAGAGTAGAGGGGCAGGATCACCTCGTTGGACCTCTGGTCATGCTTCTTTTGATGCAGACCAGGATATGGTTGGTTTCTGGGCTGCAAGTGCACAGTGAAGCCAGCTCATGTCAAGCTTCTCATCAACCAACACCCCCAAGTCCTTCTCCACAGGGCTGCTCTGAATCTCTTCTCCTCCCAGCCTGTAGCTGTGCCTGGGGTTGTGCCGACCCAGGTGTAGGACCTTGCACTTGGCTTGGTTAAACTTCATGAGGTTGGCATCGGCCCACCTCACAAGCGTGTCAAGGTCTCTGCATCTGTTCAGATGCTGAAGAATTCACATTTCTGAATTCACAGGTTGTTTACCGAATAGGAAGGGATCAGGTCATGCTTCTTCCCTTTTAATAGCAAGACCTCAGCATCTTGGCTTTTGTTTAGCATCCCTGCAGCATAAATTCAATCTGCACTTATCATCAGAACTTGATGTCAAGGTTGGTTAGTGATAGCTTTTATTTAAATGAGAAAGGAAGTGAGTTGGGTAGGCAACAGTTTATGTTTTAATGAAAAACACCCTTCACAAGATCTTAGGTGGAACAGTAGAAAAATCAGAGGAGGACCTAAAGGAATGTTTGTTCTATATGCATTTCAAAGTTCAACATTAGTAACTCGTGTGGAAACATGCTTGGGTGTCTGTTCAGGGACAGCTTCGACCCTCGTTGCTTCATGGTCTGAACAGTGATTGTGCAATGATTTGACTAAAGGACCAGCTCACCTTAGCTGCAGATGTAGCAGACTGATTAATGTTTTATATAGACCCACAGCTAGCAGGGGATGAAGAGTCAAGATGTCCTAGTGAGGATTACCTTATCATTACATACAAGCACAGGTGCTGAAGTGACCTTAGAAGCCATGGTATCTAGATCAAGGGGAAGAAGGTGTTATCTGCCATGCCTTGTAAATCCCTGTAAAATGCACTTCGGGGAGTGGGACAGCCCAAGGTGAAGTTTGGTGTTTAAATTGGCTTTAAGTTACACTGTGAAAACATAAAAATACCACTTTCTTTGCTAAAAATTTAAATTTGCATGGATAATAGCTAAGCGTTATCCCCCTGTTTCATATGATCAATAATTAAGTAAGGGATAGTGTCTTAATTCTAATTTTTATTTTGTACTTTTTCCACCTGTGTCTGTGGGGTTTTTTTATCTGTGACTGGCTAAAATGATTTCTGCATGCTTGTTCAAATGACCAGTCTAAAAAAATCATGCATATTTCTGTATTGGTTTGCACATACTCTTTCCTGACTGGCCTGTAGGGTCAGTGTTTCACGGTTATTTTTATTCCCGTTTAATCTGTTACCATGTGCTATATATTAAAATAGGTAGAAAATGCAGAAAGCCCTTCTGCCTGCTACAGCAAGGGTATTTAGAAAAGATCAGATGTATTGACCGTATTTTTCTAGAGAAGTTCTGGATTACTACGAAAGGTTCAAGGTGCAAGGTACACTTTCAGAAAATATCCCAGTGAGACAGGAACTGAAGGTGTGGTAGTTGCTGAATGCTGAGTTGTATGCTGACATCTCCCTGTGGATTTTAGGAAGATAGATTTAACATAGAAATGATTTTGCCCTGTTAGCAGAGGACCAGACCTATGGTTTCAAATATAGCCTGTCACAGTGGCTAAGGCTTTCACAGCTTTCAAACCACATCAAACTCTGTAATCCTGCATGCCACTCGGGTGCTTTTGACAATTCTAACCTTTGTGGTGTTAGCAGGAAGTGGGATTTGCTGAGAGTGCCTCTGTGTGCTCTGAGTATTTGGAAGCAAATGCTGTCTGAAGTCTGTGACTGTCAGAACCGGAGTTTTTTCCCGTGAGTCAAACAGCTGCCTAGATTCAGCACCTTGACTTCAGGCTGGCATGTGTAGTATTGAAGGTGCAAAGAAAAATGTATTGCTTCTCCAAATGGGCTGTTGGACAGTGAACTAGAGAAGGGCTGTTGCCCATGTGAACAGTAGAGCTCAGCAGAGCTGAGCTGCTGTCTTGGATGAGAAAGGAGGGGAGTTGTGGTCCGTTAGTAAAGGATAGTAGAAAGGCTAATGACCTGGGAGGAAGAAGTTGGGAGGGGGGGGGAAAGAGGGTGTCTGGCATACAGCATGGAAAGAACAGCTCCTCCTGGTAGAACTGCAGCCTAGAGGGACTGTTTGTCTTTACTGACCTTTATGTCTTGGTCTTGGCAGAAAGTGGAATCGAGAGGTGTTTTTCCACAGTAGACAAAAATAAATGTCCATGAGTGTTTGTGTGTGTGATGCAGGAAAACTGCAGAGAGGTTAGGTGTCTGAGCAATCTGTTACCTCTCTTCTGCAGGCCCCAGAGAAGAGCAGTTCTGATAGTCCTCCAGAGAAGCTGTTGAAATTCACATCCGTAGAAGCAGAACTAAAACACTGTTTTTTAAACTTAAACAGGGGAAGTTCAGACTGGATATAAGGAAGAAGTTCTCTTCTGTGATGGTGGTGAGGCACTGGAACAGGTTGCCCAAGGAAGTGGTAAGTGCTCCATCCCTGGCAGCTGGACAGAGCTTTGGGAGACATAGTCTAGTGTGAGGCATCCCTGCCCATGGCAGGGGGGTTGGAATTAGATGATCTTAAGGTCCTTGCCAACCCAAACCATTCTGTGATTCTATGATTCTATGAAAACTGATTGGGAAGTAGGGTGAACAATACAGTGTTTTCTGAAGAGGAGATGGATTTACTAGAGTAGCACTTGTTAATCTTAATGGAAATTGCAAGTATAACTCATGGACTGGTTTGGGTGTGAACAGACCTTTAAAGATCAATCCCCCTGCCATGGGCAAAGGCATCTTTCACTAGATCCAGTTGCTGAAAGACTCATCCAATCCAACTACCTATTGATGGGACATCCACACATTATCTGTGCAACCTGTTCCAGTACCTCAGCGCCCTCATATTAGAAAATCTCTTCACGGTGTCCAATCTAAATTGTGCTGTCACTACAGACTCTGGTAAAAAAATCTCTCTCCATCTTACCTAGAAGACCCCTTTAAGAACTGAAAGGCCACAACAAGGTCTCCTCAGAGCCTTCTCTTCTTTCAGCCAAACAACCCCAGTTGCCAGTTTCAGCAGAGCAGCCTCTGTTGCATACCAACTTTCTGCAGAGATCCAGAATAAACTTCCTATTGTGTACTGTACGGTTCTTATACAAAACGACAGCATTTGCCTTTAAAACTTTTATCCTCCATACATACTTGCCCCTGTACCATGACTGGTCTGTGTGCTGCAGTGTGTGTATAACTTTGCATCACACGTAAGGTATTAAAATACATGTGTAAACTGAACTTACTTTCTGGTGTTCCTCTTGACACAGCACCTTGCTTTGTGATAACCACATAATTAATAACTGACAGAAAGGAATACAAAGGGTTGGGTTTTTCTTTTTCTTTCAGGGGGAAGAGGCAAAAAGTTATTTTAAGAACCATTCTGTATAGAACATTAGTAAAGGTTTACTAGTGAGAAGTGTGTCGTAAAAATATGTTTACAGGACTAGCATACAGATAATAGGGAATGTGTGGGCATTTCAAGTTCATAGGCTGATCCTGAACAGAGTAAACCTGAGAGTGAAGAAATGAAGTGAGCGGAGATCAGAACCAAAATGAAGCAAAATCCCTTTTCTTTTATTATGTAGTTTGGGAGGAGTCAGAAAGACATTCTGTTGATTTCTTGCTCAAGATAATGCCTGCTAAGGAATTAATGCTCTGAGCAGATGGTGCTGTCTCATTTCCAGCGAAAGAATCAAGTGAGATAGTCCATGCAATTATTTTTAATGGCTTGTGTGGTGATCTTCTTAATTTGTGAGAAAATGTTTCATCTTTTGTTAAAGCTGGCTGCGTTCACATAGAGCTTGGCTTTCAGAAATACCGCTCCCAGAGCTGCCAGTGACTTCACTCCTATTACTAGGTGCTTGAGACTTCTACAAATGAGGCCCCAAGCACTTTGTATAAAAGATTAGGATGGGTTGAAACACCTATACAGTTAAGATTTAGAACTTAACCCATGAGACTTCATGATGAAGGAATATGTATTTATTATTAGGAATGCATGTTTAAATACCCTAAGACTTTGTTTCCTAAAATTTGTACTACCAGTTTAAAAATTATAGAAAGGCTTAATGTTTTTATTTTGCTTTCAAGCCATTTCAGCCCTAAAATTCTCAGGTTTGATGAATTAAAACTCGACAATCATGCCGTTTGTTGAAATACAGGATCAGGGAGTAGAAACTTATTAATTACCCTTATTTGCAGATATGTTTTAAGACTTAGGAAAGGGGGCCTCCAAGAAAGGTGGGGAAGAACTTTTTATAAGAGCAAGTAGTGGTAGGACAAAGAGGAATGGCTTTAAAGTGAAGATTTAGATTAGACATTAGGAAGAAGTTCTTCCGTGTGAGGGTGGTGAGGCGCTGGCACAGGTTGCCCAGAGAAGCTGTGGCTGCCCCATCCCTGACAGTGTTCAAGGCCAGGTTGGATGGGGCTTGGAGCAACCTGGTCTAGTGGAAGGTGTCCCTGCACATAACAGGGGGTTGGAAATAGATGAACTTTAAGGTTCCTTCTAACCCACACCAGGCTGTGGTTGCATGATTCTGTGATTTGTCACTTGCTCTGTCACTTTGCTTTGGGGCAGTTACATTTTCACACACACAGTTATTTGATAGGTAAGTCCTTCTGCTTCTCAGGGATGAGAAGGTGCAGCAGAGGGGATCAGAGTAGGATCATAATGTTCCCTTCTTGCCCTGGCTCTTCTGAATTCATGGACTGTGTTGTCTTTTTCCAGATCCCATGATGTTTTCTGACAGCGGTGCTCCAGAGAAACGCTTCCCATGTGAGTTCTGTGGCCGATCATTTACAGAAGGCTCTGAGTGGGAGCGACATGTGCTGAGGCATGGCATGTAAGTTGATTTTCATTCCTTTACCAGACAACCAAAGGTAACAGCAGATCAGTCTGCATTCTCCCCACCCCATTCCTTACCTCCCAAAAAGTCCTGTGATGAAAGCAAACACAATTCTATAAAGAACAATTCTGTTATCACAGGTGTGGATACAGTCGTCAGATGTTTCTGCATGGGAAGTTCCTGTTCATCCTTTTAAACACTGCTGCCTGGGGTGGCTGTAGATTGTAGGGTTTAACTGTGATTCTAAAGCTTGAGATTGTCCCAAGGCTAATAACGCTTGGCCAGGATTGACTTTTACCTGAGTGTAAGTTGATTTTGCCAGCCAGCAGAGCAGCATAAAAAAGGCAGAAAATTATATGGAACGTTCTAGGAAGGAACTGTTTGTTGTTCTTTTTTTCCTCTTTGTTGTTATATCTCATGCTTGTACCTAAACTTGCATAACAGTGCAAAGAATTACGAGCAGAGAAATGTCATGATCTTCAGGGGAAGAAAAAAATGAACTCCTGTAAAATGTGCATAGTGAACTTCACTAGTGCATCTTCATAGGGAAAATCTCTGCCTTTGTATAGAAGTTTGCACAGTGTGGGATGGTATGCATCACAGGTACGCACCTTGAAGAAATCATTTTCCTCTTTTAATGAAGATCTCATTCGTAGCAGAGATCTTTTTGCTGGTCAGGGTTTCTTCAAATAGTAGATTTTCTTTGAGGTTCCTTACATGTGGAAGACAGTCAAATACAATATTGTAGGTTAACTTTGATGGGATGGGAAATACTACTTATATTTTCCTTAATCTTGTTTTCCTAAATATGAGTGCTTGAAATGTTTCAACCTATAAAAAGCTCTATTGGATCACTAACTCTTTGGGAAAAGTACTCTCTACCTGTGCCTTTAATTGGTGCCTGTAAGTATTGTTTACAAGGGACTGGGGAAAGGGGAATGCATATTTAAAAGTCACGGTTGGGGTTCTTCCCTCTTATCTCATATTGGTCCCAGTGTAGAAAAAGTGAAGATTTGATTTCAAAGCTAGGATGTTATGGGTCCCACTGGTAGATTCATTCCACTGCCTCCCCTTTTGAGTGTAAGGTGGCAATGGTGCGGCTGCTTGCATCTACCTTCTTAGGAAGTGAACTGTTTTTCTCCCTTGTGTGATATGCACAGATTGTCTTTGCCCTTCTCCATATTGACTGCAAGCATTTCTGGTTTCTGCTGCTTGGCTTTCCAGGGCACTAAATGAAAATAAGCACAGGACTGGTGAGGACAGCCAGCCAAAGGAGGACATAGAAGAGACTGTCAGCACACTGCCAGAAGAGAAAGAAGGCATTGAGAAAATGGTGGTGGACTACTCCCACAACAGTGAAACAGCAGTCAGCTTGGTAGCTGCTGACAAACCTCTCCAAGACAACTCGGAGGCCAAAAATGAATAAGCATTTGGTGTGATTCTATTCAACGTACTTGAACAGTGATGAATTGGGTGAGGTGGGTGGGTGGGGTGGGCAGAAGGAAGAAATAAAGCTGCTTTTAGGACTGAATGATCTATTTTCAAAGCACTGGTACCCGTGTGAGTGTGTGTATATTAAAGTTATTTAAGTGATGGAATAAGTGGCTTCATTACGTCACTGCATCTTTTCTTCTGGATTTTGACAATGGGAAGTTACATTCATCTTGGACTAATGAAGCAACTCCCGGTATTCCTACATTACACATCGTGCTTTGCAGTGGAGATTTGGATTGTTTGTGAATGGAAGCGTCGTGAGCATGGAAGAAGTGGGAGGGGGACAACTCTTCAACGCACAAGTTTGTGTGCGTTTTTCTAGTTTTAATACATACCGCTTTTCCAGACTGAAATGCAACTGCTTTAGAAAAGAAAAAAAAAAAAAAAAAGAAAAATAAAAAAGAGAACAAAAACAAAACAGAAACTGCTTTGCTTAAAACAGTCACCTGTTTCCTAGTACCTCAGAATTAACCAAGGGAGATCTCTGCATTTGTCAGTACTACCTGTTGTTGTTGTGGTTAAATGTAGAGAGACTGCTGGGCAAGTTGGTGAATGGAGGAAGAAAAAAAGTTTTAAAGAAAACAAAACAAATTGTGCTTAAAATCCCAGTGTGGGTTTTATTTCTTAAAATACTGTGATTTTTTTAATTATTTTAGTAAAAAAAAAAACAAAAAAAAAAGAGAGACTTTAATTCCTAGATAACTGTTTGTGAATTGTCATCCTTTATTCCAGGTAAGCTGTTTGTTAGTATTCAGTTATAATTTTAGGATTTGATAGATTTCATGTGACTGATTGTGCGGTTTTGTTTGCCACATGTTTATTTTCTATCAGTCTTTGAGGTGTTACAAATACAGCACAATTAAGTTTCTCATGTAAAATGAGTATTTCTTTTTTGAGGGGGGGACAGGGAAAGGAGACTAGATCTTGTGAATAGAACTTTTTGTTGTTGCTGTTGTTGTGTTGTTAATTTTAAACATGGAAATAACAAAGAAGTTTTAACTTTTTTTTTTAAAAAACTAAAGAACCAAACTTACGGCACAGCTATGCAGCTCGCGGGCCAAACACATAGGTCCTCATAACCATTCTGTTGCTTGTCATATTAACATCTATCAGTCTCACACCAGTAACTTTTCGTTAAGATTGGCTGCCTTTTTTTCTTCCGTCTGTGGTATGCGTGTTTTCTTTTTGTTTTGTTGTGGTGGGAGGGAGGGGTGTCTGTTAACACATCTTTTTGCAAGCGGAGGTGAAATAGTTACATATGACATTGAGCCTGAAGAACTACTTTTACTCGATTCAAGATGGAGTTGCTAAGTTTTTCCCCTCCTCCTTAGCTTTCAGCATGAGGGGAGCAGCGTAGAATGAATAGGTACCTGCATACCAAAGTGGCTGATCCTGCACCACTTCTTGGGTGGAAAGCCTACCAAACTTAACAGGAATTTTGCCTGAGCAATGAATACAGGATCTGGTGCCCATGGTATGTCCTGGTTGTGAACAAAAAAAAAAGAAAAAAAAAAAAAAAAAGAGTTTCTTTCCAAAAAGTAGAAAGTACTTGACTGAAACCTAGTTTTAGAAATGCATGTGTCTTTGTTTGTTTTTTTTGTTTTGGGGGGATCTGGGGGAGGGGGAGGGGGGAACATAGGAAGCTGCTGAGGAAAGGGTGTCCTAGAGAGCTTCACATGAAATTGATGGCAAAAATGTTGCATTTGTGGAATAAGTGCTACTTGAGAAGCATGGTGTTTTGCTTTTGGGGATTCATCAGTTGTGTGGTAGGGGGATACTTTTGAATCTTTTTATTGGGGTTTTTTTGTTTTCTTTTTCAAAGTAGGGAGGGAAGGTCATAGAAAAACATTGGAGGGACAAGTATAAATACACATTTTGTGTCTGTATTTGTTTTTTAATTGGCCTCATTTCAAATGTATTTAAACAGTTCCATACCTGGATTGGTTGTTTGTAATGGTTACCAAAAATGGAAAAAAAAAAAAAAAAAAAAAGAAATAATGATTGTGACATGCTTTTATCACTACTTAATTTTTCAAATAACATGTAAATATTGTAATCCATTGGATTTTGTTTTGCTAACCTGTTAATAAAAAATATGGGACCATTATCATTTTAACAAGTCTAGAATGTCATACTTTTTTTTTTTTTTCCTTTTTCTTTTCCCAAAAATGTATACCTGATATATTGTGGACACACATTTTAGATGCATTGTTATGATTCTGTTGACTGTAATGACATAGAATTGAAAATAACATTTTTTTTCATTGTTTAATTTATACAGAGGACTTTTTCAGAGTTTGACAGAAGGAAATAATAGCAAAATGCTAACCCATTGGCTTCAGCACTCGGTATTTCCTCATTTTAAAATTACTGCTTACTGATGGGGGATAGGAAGGGGATACTGAACTGTTGCACTGACGGGTTTGTTTTTTTTAAAAAAAAAAAAAACAATGAAAATTAATAAAAACTTTTTAAGAGTGTGACTCGTGTGTGAGTGGGTTTGTATTGGGTACTCTGATAGTAGTTCTGTACAAGTGATGGGTGCTGCAATCGGCAGCTCTGGGAGGGAGCAAATCGCACACTTTCCCTTCAGCATCCTTTCCTCACCTATTTTACAGGGAATTTTGGATTTACGAGGCTTGGGGGGTATAAGGGGGTGGTGGAGTGGAAGGAGTGAATTCCTCTAGCTCACACAGGTCTAGAGCCTACCAAAGAATGCCTTGAATATCCACCAGCCCAACATCCATTAGCGGTCAAGGGCACACTGCCAAGGTCTGCCGACTCCTGAACCCAGACACAGAAATGAAGGAATTTTGCAGGCTGTCTTGAAAGATGAAAATAGATGGAGACAGTCTGGTAGTTAGATTATCAACTCAAGTCACTTCATGAGTAAGGATACTATATGATCCAATATCTGATGACCTACTGGATCCCACACTGAGGCTGTACTTAACTAGAGTTGAACATACATCCAGTAAGATGGAGAACAAGGCATTATTTTTTACTTCTTTCTCAACTGAAAACTTAAAATGGTGCTCATGGTGCTGTCTTGGAATCTTTATTTGCTAAACATGTTTTTAAATGCTCATTCAGAAGATGTCAGAGGTGTTTTCCAGGGTGTTTTTTAATCAAGTCCTGTTTCCAGTTTAAGTAGCTTTTTGGTTGTACTGGAACTGGATCTCATCTGAATGTGTATGATGTTAAACAGTATGAAAGCTTTGATCACCCGATAGCTTTACGTGCTTCCACCTTGCTCCAAGGAGTCAAAATATTTCTCTGTTAAAATACTCAATTCTTTATCCTGTGTTTACAGAGTAGTTAAAAAAAGAAAAGAAAGAATGTGATTTAGGATGTTAGAAGTTGCCCTTTTTCAGTGGTCTCTGGAAATACTTGTTCATGAGAGAGACCTACAATCATTTGTGCGTTGTGATAGCCCAGAGCTAACCTGCACTTCCACAAATTTAAAAAGAGAAAGGGTTGCTCAGTGGTACATCACTAACAAGAATTACATAACTGATGTCATGAAAGACCTTGGGAAGATTTGTAGAGTACTACGGTTGCATTACCCCATTCACCTCAGTGGCAGGATTGTGAATTTGAAGGAAAGCCCTTGATCTTCCCAGTTTTTGGTTTCTGCCTGAATGTGATTAGATCATCTGCCTTGATATTCCTGTGTAGAATTAAAATACAACAAGGGGTGGGAGGGAAGAGACAAAGGAAATAGTTACTAACGTGATCCTTCACTCACTTCACTTTACTTCTCTGCCTTGCCAGTCAATTCCCTTTCTCATAACTGGGAGCCCTGGGCACCACATGAAGCATTTGTGCCGTGGGACAACTGGTGTTTTGCACACACTGTATTCCCAGGGTCATTATCCTTCCTTTTCTTCAGAAGTCTGGGTAAATGTTTGCCACATTATTGCTAGCTGACTGCTGGCATTTTCTTTTGGCCTAGAGGTACGTTGCCTGATTACTCTCCATGCAAAGGTTTTGCCTTCATATTCACTCTGGTGCAAAGGCTTTGCAGGAGTTGCTATGGGAAGGGAGATGCTGTCTCCCTCCCTTGCAAACATACACCCTCCCTGGAGAAAAGCTGAGCAGTTGAGATTATCCTGTGACTTGGGGACCAACAGTGGGGATTGGCAGGGTCACAGTAAGTAAGAATCGTAGGTCTGGAACTGTAGGGTTTCCAGTGGAAAGTCCTCTTCTTGTGAAGTGGTAAGGACTAGGTGAAGCACTGATTCTTGTGGCCCAGTTATCTTGGAAATTGGTGCCATGCAGAAGACTTCATGTGAACTTGAACAGCAAAAGTCAGTCTCCAGGCTCCAAGAAAATATCTAAATACCATTGCAGATGTTCAGTACATTTCAATGAAAACTCCTCTTTCTTTACTCTTCCTCACCTTGAAGTCTTCAGTATTTTTTTGATAATACAGGACTTTTACACCACGAAAACCAGCTGTCTGGCTCCAAAGCAGCAGGATTACTGAATAGGAAAGATTCTGGGTAAGAAGATTTTGGAAAAGGGAATGTTTTAGTCTAAGATAGGCTTAAGATCTTAGAGAAATCTCTCTGTAGCATGGTTAGTTCCATGCCCCCACAACAGCCACTGCTGGAAACAGGGATTTCAGTTTCAGCAGTCTGCAGCACAAAGTTTAGCCTTGAAGGCTACAGTCTTTCCAGGATGCCACTTGTAAACCTTTTATTGTCTTCTTATCTGTCACATAGCAAACCATCCTTAGATAAGTGAGAGGGTGCAAATACCCTGTGAACCAAAGGTGGGGCTGGGTGGCATAAGTCAAAGAGTCATCCCAGCCAAAGCTTTGGTGGAGAAAGCTATTGGAATCAGCTGATGTTTGGGGAGCCTAGCTGAAGGCATTGTCTTTCCTGCTGCTTTTGCAGTTACTTACCTCTATGTGGAACTACAAGGGTA